TCCTCCTCTCTATCCCCCCTTTACCCTCCCTTCCCCCCTCTTCATACATCAACTTGCCAACAGAAAGCTAACATCGTCATCCAACAACAACAGCAAACCATGATCGGGGTCCTCGCCGCCGCCGAAATCCGCCAACTCTGCCAAGACGCCTCCCTCCCCATCACCGACGCCTTCTCCCCCTTCGTCGCCCAAGCAACCTGGGTCGCCCTCAAAGTCGACACCTCCCGCCTCCGCGCCCTCAACACCACCTCCAAGGCCTTCTCCCAACAAGTCGGCGACCTCGTCTTCGGCGCCAAGCCCGGCTTCACCATCCACCGCCTCATCCTCGTGGGCGACGACATCGACGTGTACGACGACAAGGACGTCATGTGGGCATTTACCACCCGCTGCCGCCCGGGGACCGACGAGGTGTTCTTCGAGGACGTTCGGGGTTTTATGCTTATTCCGTACATGGGACATGGCACCGCGGATGCGAACAAGGGGGGCAAAGTTGTGAGTGATGCGTTGCTTCCGGTCGAGTATACGACGGGCAAGGACTGGGAGAATGCCGACTTTAAGAATGCTTACCCTCAGGGGGTCAAGGACAAGGTGTTGAGGGACTGGGAAACTCTGGGATTCCAAAAGCTGGAGTGAGGTTGGAGTCTTGGATAATGGCTTTCCATGTTGGATATGTAGTCAAATCAATTATATACTATGCCTACAGCAAACCCGCGTAACCGCTTTTTCTCTCAAGAGCTCTCGCTTCATCCATCATCAACGCCGCGTACCAAAACCCCCCAAACCCACCAGCTTCGTGTTGCCCATCTATCCTATCCGTGTTCCTATTGCTACAAGTTCTCGTGTCATCATCCCTAGGCCATAATGCCCACATCCTTTTTTCGTTGTCTTTTCATCTCTTATAACCGCCTCCTTTTTTTTTACACAGTCCATCGTTCTGTGATCCTAGCCATTTCGCTCATAATCAGTACAAAATAGTGCGCTCCTCGCTCCTCGCTCCTCGCCCCCCTCAGCTCTAGTTCTATGTGCTCAATGCGTAGATGCATACATCATAACAAGGAAAGTAATGAAGGTGTCTCAAAGTTGGATAAAGAGAACCCTCGTTCACTGCTCAATGGCAAATTAAGACGAGGTTCATAGTACCACCATGGCGGAGATGGCCCTCGTCTTGACCTTACTCTTCCTTCTTGCGTGACTTTTCGGCCCCTTGACTTCCATTTGGCTTTTCTTGTGTTGTTCCCGAGGCCTTTTCGGATTTGCCCTTTTTCCACTTGGAAATCTTTTCGCCCAAGTACCGCCATGATTTCTTAAAGCCGCCCATCAGCAAGCCCTTGATGCTCTGCGAAGTGCTCGGCCAGTTGACCGTCTGCTTAATGACCTGGCGAGTGATGCGCTGTAGCTGCTCGGGGTCGTCTGCGGCAACCCGCTTCTCAAACTCGCCCGCTTGACGCCGCTTCACAGCTCCATCAGAGTCGGACGTTGCCTGCATCATGGCCCTGAACTCGTCTTGGGGAATGCCAAACTTCTTGCGATACTGGAAGTAGAGCCGAGACCTAAAGCTTCCTGGCAGGCGCCTAACCATGTTTCCTCGCTTCACCAGATCCATGTCCTGCTGCAGCCTGGTGTTGGCTTCGGGGTTCAAAATCCAGTTCTCGTCGTCCAGCCGGACCGGGTCGACAAACGCCACGTTGGGGAGCGTCCTGATTAGCGGAGCGTAGAGTCGGCGGAAATGAACCATGTTGTGGGAGACAATGTTGGCCACCTTGCTCTTGTTTTCGGTGGGAAGAGCCATTCTTGGATCACCGAGGTAGCTGAGGCCAGCAATTGTGCTGTACAGATCGGCCTCGGTAAAGTCGGACGGCAAAAGGAGGAGAGCAGTTCGGACAGCAGCAATGAGGTTGATCTGGTTTGCCAGACGGACTTGGGGATGGTCTCGCAGAATCTTGACAGGCTTCTGGAGGCGCCCCGCCAAGTACAAGTTATCCCAGGTGGACAGGTCCCTCACCAGGTTGTCGATGCTCGTAACGCCGTACTTGATCAGCATGCCGTTCATCTCGATGTAGGGGTTGAAGTAGACGCCGGCACCCCAGCCCTGGACTCTTGAGACAAAGCCCGAGCCAAGCGATGCGACCCCCGAGTAGTGATCCCGGTGTTGCTTCATGTTGATGGAGTGCCAGTGCTCCGTATGCGTGACTCCGAAAATGAAGTCAATCATCTTGGGTGAGCCCTTCTGGGCCTTAACCAGGGCCTCGGGAGGCTTGGGGTGGACAGCTCGAAACTCGGCTTCGCTGACGCTGCGACCAGCCTTTTCCTGGGGGAAGACGCCCGAGCCATAGGCAAAACAGTAGACAATGGGCGCATTGAACTGACGCAGCATCATACGCAGGGCCTCTTTGAGCTCATAGTTGATGATCATGTGTTGGTTAACACCAAAGAGGCGATGGGGGAGCTCGTCGAAGCGTTGGATGGCAAAGTCCACCGTATCCTCCCACTCGTCGCCATATAGGTTGAACTTGCCTCCAGCGGATTCTTTGCGACGGCTTGATGCCGATGATGTCGATGGCGATGACGTTGAAGATGTAGATGTTGGTGCGGATGATTGCGTCGTGGATGCCGGCGATGCCCGATCGCTACTCGGGCTATCTGCCTGCCGGTTCTGCGAGGAAGTTGTCGAGTTGGAAGACCATCGCTGATGAGACGAGAGAGACGATGTTGACGGCAGCAGAGTCAAAGAGGAGGACGAGGGAGATGACAGTCGTTTGTAGCTGGATCGAGCGTTGGGACTGGGAGAGAGGAACAGCGACGATAGCCGAGGCGCCGTCGTCGTTGCCAGAGAGCTTCTTGCCTGCGAGGAATCTCATGTCAGTAACGATAATCCCGTCATTGGCCAGCACTGTAGATTTCTTCCATGTACCCCGATGCTTCGTCCAAGGGCGACCATTGTGATTAGGAAAAGGCGAGTCGGTTCGATCTTTGGAGCTGGGCTGGTCTGATTCGAATTTGAGCTATTCGCGGATACGGGAGCAGCGGCAAAGGCCACGAGAGGACGCTCAAGCGGTGCAATCCATGTACCGAATATTCGAGATCTGGTTGATGTAAATACGGAACCGGTTGAAGCTATTCGACAGCCGCATGTCCAGCAGCTTTGTGGTGTCTTGACTGAGGGGCTGGTGGGATGAGAAGATGAAGATGAAGGGAGCTGGCAGAGCTTCCCACTAAGGCTGGATCTTGTTCTGCGGGTGGGTCACGGGCAGGCCTGGAGCTGCGTCATTGGCAAGGGGGAAGCCAGGTACAAGGTGCAGCAGGTTGTAGAAGCTGGGGGGACTTGTACTGGTACTTGCACTTGTATTTTGTGTTTGAATTCCACTGCATCCAATGCCAATCGCAGCAATTGTATCTTTGATATATGCCTCATACTTGATTGCCACTATTCTTCAACACAGAGCGGGAATATTTGGACGTTCCATGATTCGAGCTGCTGGTCCGGAGCACCGACCCAGACGATGGACCGAGTGCCGATTGGCTGCCGCAGATCTTATCTGATGACTGGGCCAAGCTTTGTACCTGGTCTCTGTATAATACACATACAGGTACTCGGTGCTTTGAACGAGTAAATCAATTTTCTCTGGCTCTATATATGCCTTTACTATAGTATCTATTAAACGACTAAACATAGGTTTGTTTGATTTACCTGATTGATTGCGCGAGCATACTCTCGTTCAACTACCCAGAAACGGCCCTTTAATATACCAGGTATATAGCGTCAAAGCTTACCTACCCATTTGTACACCAACCTCGGATTTGTTTATTCATGATAACCATCCGCTGAAAAGTCAATTTGCACCTACAAATTCCTCCTAGCAGTGAAGAACTATTTTTTCAAAGCTCTTTTTTCTTGCAATTACACCATCATATCACATCTCCATCTACCACTTCTTCTCCAACATCTCCCTTCTTCTCCAACAAACACCTACCCGGGAGCCTGCGTCATCACGTGACCGCCCATACTGCATCCTCGCAGACGCGCCTCTGCGCGTTTCGCAAAAGACAAGGAAAAGGTCAACAACAGCTGTTATCAGCATTTCCAAGGCCAGAGCCAGTCGAGATGCGCGGCCGCGCTACGCAGGAAGCGGGAGGCTCTGCCGGTCGGCCCAATTCTCGATCGACCAGCAGAATCCGAACCGCAAGCAGCTCCAGTCTGCCACGGCCAAATCTGTCACTCCGTGATTCAAGGGTAAGTCGACAACGGCAGCGAGAATCTTTGATCCTTGGTGTTTGATCTTTGATGTGCTAATGGTTTGTTGCTTGTGCTTAGATAGCGTCCTTTCGAGCAAATCAGCCCATTCCAACCTTTCAAACCACAGAATCAAACACATCCAGACCAGCATCAAGACAAAGCAATGCGGCTGCATCAGTTCGAGGCTCGCTCAAGAGCTCGGGATCCAAAGAGAATTTAGTGCCGCCCAGCACAGACGCTCATGAAAAGCTTCACAGAGAGATCGAGGCCCTCAAGGCCGAGATTGGAACCTTGCAATACCGCCTGCAAACTGCCGAGCAAGAAAAGAACATTGCGCTGTCTCAGCAAAGCAACAAGATGGAGCAAGCCCGTCGGCGCGAACAGGAAGAGGCCCAGCAACGCCAATCGGCCGAAGCAGAAAAGGCCAAGGCGGACACCAAGATGGAGTCGATCAGGCGGGAAATGGAGGAGTTGAAGGAGGCCGCGGAAAACGACAAGCGACTGCTCGAGTCCAAGATTCGGGCCGCCGAGGACGAGGCCCGTCTTGCGCAGGAGCAGGTGGAGGATCTAACCAACGCCAAAGACGAAGCCGCGAGAAGAGCAGACAAAAAGGCCAACGACTTGCAGATGCAAATCGCCGCGGCAAACAGCTCAATACAGGAGATGGGGCAAGAAGCCGAGGCACGGGAGTCGACGCTGCAGCAGTACCAAGAGCAGATTCTGGAAAAGGACAGCGTGATTGGCAAGCTAGAGGCAGACGTGTTGCGGCTCAAGGCGCAAAGCGGCGATGCAGAGACCATGGAAGTCATCAAGAGGGAGCTGTCAGAACAGGTTTCGCACATCCGTGCCCTCGAAGCCACAAATCGCGACCAGCTTGCCGAGCTGAAACGACTCAGAGCCGTCAACAAGGCTGTCGAGATTGTCGAGGAGGAAAAGAGGACGCTGTTGCGCAAGGTCGAGGCTGCGGAGAGGCTGGAGGCGGAGCTGGCAGAGGCCAGGATACAGCGGCAGAGACTGGAAGACGAGCGGCTATCATGGTCGGCTTATCTCGAGAATGTGTCGGAAACAGGCCAGGCCGAGTTCGACTCTCCCGAAGAGATTGCGCGGGCGCTCGTCCAAGAGCGGCTGACGAGTGCCTCTTACGTCGAGCAGCTTGGAGCTGTCCGCGCTGAAGTTGCAGCACAGCAGGGGCAGATTCAAGCCTTGGAGGAAGAAAAGGCTCAGCTGCGGAGCCAAGTCGAGAATGCTACGACGTCTGCGGAGGCCGCCAACACCGACAAGGTGCGGATGCGTCTGGATCGCCAGCGTGCCCTGGCCCTGAAGGAAGTCGAATACTTGCGCGCGCAGCTCAAGGCCTTTGACACTGAAGAGCATGCGATGCAGCCCGATGGCTATGACG